AATGTGGGAATTTTAGGTAGAATTCTAACAATGACTCTAGATTCAGAAATCAAGATCCACAAACTAGGGTTAATAGAGTAAGAAATTGCAAAGAAGCTAGGTCCCTGATAAGGCTAGCTACCATACCAACCTCCAACTGCCTACTTCTGAGCTTCTTTCACATAAGTAACAAACTCATGAGAGAGAGAGAGAGAGAGAGAGAGAGAGAGAGAGAGAGAGAGAGATCCTGTATCAAAATTGAAAAAAAAAAAAAAAGGGAAAAAAGGAGCTGGAAAATAGGGCTATAGCTCAGTGTGAAGGCATTAGGTTCAATGCCAAGTGCCAAGTGCAGGAATAGATAGACATTCAGTAATTCCCATCACACTTCCTGACTGGAGAAGCACTGACCACATGGCAGCCAGGCCCTTCATACCAAAAACACCAGTCAAGACTTCAGAGCTCAGGAGGAAAGTGGAGTTGCACCAAGAAGCCAGTATCAAAGTAAAAGACCTTGCAGAATCCTCTGCAGCTCTTACCACTGGTTTCTGTTTCAGGATGGAGAAAAAAGCAGTAGTCACCCTGTCACTCTGTTTTTCAGGCCTGCTATACTCAACCATATCCAGCTGAGTCACAGAAAAATGGAGAAAGCTGTTCAAGTTCAACTCTCACAGCAGTTTGTTCTGCCTGAAAAAAATGCTCTCTCACTTTAATATTCTCTTCCTACTGAATGAGGGATGCCTCCAATAATTTCCCAGTGGGACAGAGCCCTGTCCCTTTGCCCCCACTAGTCAGTTTGGCATTAGAAACATATCAAAGGTATGAAGTATTTTTAAAACATGAATATGAAAGAAGAGGCCAAAAAGAAATACAAAAAACTTTACAAAGTGTTGCATCCCTTTTACATTTAATCCCTTTAAAAAGGTTTCATTTCACAAAATCCTACACTGTGTCACAGTATTTCCCAGTTACCGAGAGAAAAAAAAAAAAATGCAACAGTCCTCTCTCATTCTAACCATTATCTACAACCTCAAGTAAAAGTACTCAGAAAAAGGAATCACCTGCTTTATTAAGCCTCAGCAAAATACAATGGGTAAGCAGAATGATGGCTCCACAGATGTTCACATCTTTAATCCTGGGAACCTGTGATTATGTTATTTGTAAAGAGACTGTGGGAGTGTTTAAATTACCCTGGATTATTCAAGTAGGCCTGACCCAATCTCATGGGTCCTTAAGAGCACGTCACTTTCCCTGGCCATGTCAGAGAAGTGAGGGTGGAAGAACAACCTGAGACAAGCACCCTTGTGGCTGTGAAGATGGAGGAGACTATAAACCAAGGAAGGCGGCAGCCAACAGAAAATGAAAGGAGCAAGGAAATGGTTTCTCCCCTAGAAACCTCTAGAAAGACACACAACCTTGTTGATGTACTGATTTTAGCATTTTTGACTTCCACAGGGGAATGAAATCTGCACTGTTTTGAGCCACTAAATCTGTATGAATGTACTAGGGCAGTTATGGAAAGTTAGTATACACACATACACACATAGGACTCTAACAGTATATGAAATTACCTAAAGGGGAAAAACACAGTAACACTGCCCAAATACTCTAAGCACTATTAGAAATATTTGTGCATACTGCAGTACTTTACTTTTGTTTTTCTCTTGCCATGCAAAACTCCATTCATGAAAAAGTCAGTTAATGTTGACAATTTTTCTTTTTTTTTTTTTGGCAAGGCAATGCAGTATACTAATAAAAAAAAAAAAATGAACAGTACATTGGGATGCGCTGGAAAAGTGAAAAGACATGCTATAGTTTTCAGAGTCAAACATGTATCAAATGGATACTACATTTAAAATGTAAATCCTAGCCAGGCATGGTGGTGCACACCTACAGTCCCCACACTCAGAAGGCTGAGGTCAGAGAACTGCCACAAGTTCAAGGCCAGCCTGGGATACACAGTGAGAACCTGTCTCAAAAAAAATAAAAATTAAAAATTAAAAATCCTGGGCTGGGGAGATGGCTCAGTACAATAAGCAATTGCCTGGGAAGTGCAAAGGCCTGAGTTCAATCCCCAGTTCTGCAAAAAAATAATAATAATAATTAAAAATTAAAAATCCTTCCATATATTAATGATATTAAGATCTCACTATTAATTTTATAGGTGTGACAATGGTATTATGAGCATAGTAAAAGACAGTGATCAATCCCCTACAAATACATACTGAAATATTTATAGGCAACTTCAAAACAACCAGGAGCCAGGCATGGTAGTACATGCCTGGAAAGCTAGAATTCTGGGAGGCTGAGGCAGAGCAACACAAGCTTAAGTTCACCCTGGACTTAAATTTCTAATTTAGCAATTTAGAAACACCCTGCCTCAAAAACAAAAATGAAAACAGAACAGGAAATGAGCTCAATGCAAAGAGCTCATTAGAATACAGAGCCCTGTATTCTATCCCCAGTACAAAAGGGTGGAGGGGATGATGTGGTTTTAGGAATGGATAGACAGAGATGAACAGAACTGACATGGTTTAATCACTGTTGGAGCCAGGTAATATGGACATGGGACTGCATTATATAATTGAACTGTGACTGTTCTTAAGGGCTAGATATTGAACCTAGGGCCTCATACTATCACTTAACTACACTCGCAGCTTTTATTTGAACTTTTCTATATTTAAAAGGTACAAAAATTTAAAAATACCTTGACCTACCATAATATAGGCTTCTCTATATACATGTTATTACAGCATAAACTTAATAGCTAATTTCCTTTCTATCAACATTGCACTACCTCATCTGGTTTAATACTTAGAACTGATAATTTCATCAATTATTCTGGAATCTCAAAAAAAAAAATTATTCTGGAATCTCAATTCATCTTGCCTTACTACTAACCTTACAAGCTCCAAGCAAGTCCCCTCAGTTCTAAAAGAATGGTTCATTTGCACAATGGGAATATTCATACTTCTTTCTTCAGTGCATATTTATAATACATAATGTTTACATTCATCTTAGGGGGTAGGTACATGTACTTAACATCTTAATTCTTTTTATTCTCTTACCCCTCCCTCCCCTGCTCCCTGTCACTAGATCTCCTTCCTATTTGCAAAAGATCTATCTCTCTGTTTCCTAATGTCTATCTTTTATTTCATTTTTACATTACTTATACTTTGGGTTTCTCATACCAGAGAAATTATGCAAGTGTGTGTCTAATTTATTGCATCTAATAGTATTGTCTCACAGTGCATCCACTTTCCTAAACTTTACTCAATTTTATCCTTCTTTATGGCAGCACAGTATTCCACAGTACATAAATATCACATTTTTATCCATTCATCTGTTAATGAATATACAGGTTGCTTCCAAGATTAGCTTTTATGACAAATAGTCATTCTTGCCAAGCCTATCTCTGAGTTGCCAAGATTATCTAAGATTAAAATCCCCAGGCCCAAGGGCTGGCCAGATAGCTCTGCAGACTAAGGGACTGGGGCTAGATCCCCAAGGTGCCATGCCGGGCCCCACCCCGAGGCACGCCTACATGGCAGATGAGCTATTAAGTTTACAGCCTGGCATGGTGGGGAGGCTGAAAACATAAGGATCACTATGAGTCTGACCTATGTGCTAATACCCTGCAGACCCTGTACTAAACACGTTTTTAAAAAAGAAAAAAATTCCCAGGCCCAGAATATAACTCAGCGGCCCAGTGCCTGCCTGGCAAGCTAGAGGTCCTGAGTTCGATTCCAGATACCAAATAAATAAATAAATAAATAAAAATAAACAATAAAAACCCAATAGCATGATAACCATTGTAGAAAGCCATAGTTATAAAATCCATTCTCGGGGCCAGGGAGATGGCTCAGTAGAATAAGCGCTTGCCTGGCAAGCACAAGGGCTAGAGTTCAATCCTTGGTTTCACCAAAAAAATAATAATAATAAAATAAAATAAAATCCATTCTCTGCAGCAACCATTTACCTATGTAACCCCTTCCACGTGTGGCAAATTTTCAGCCCTCCCCACAACCTCCCCTTCCTCATATACTCCAGACCGAAACCTTCTACCCACAGGATTCCCTCAACCCCCTTTTTTCTTTCTTTTTTTTGCGGTACAGGGGATTGAACTCAGGACCCTGTGCTTGCTAGACAAGCCCTTATTCTACTGAGCTATCTCCCTGGGCCCCTAGCCACAGGATTCTCAAGTGAGAGGCCAGGGGTGATGGCTCAGTAGAATAAACCCTTGCCTAGGGGGTGGGGGAAGGATTCTCAAGCGGGCTTCCTCTTTCAAGGATCCCGCTCCAGCAACCGACAGTCTTTCCTCTCCATCTCCTTTGCTGGCCTTATTCCAACCATCCCCTCACTTCTATAACCTATCTCAGTGCTTGGTCGGTTTCATCACCCCACTACCCTAACACCCCTCTGCTGCCACCAGGGCACAAACATCCACTCTTCGGTTCAATCCCACTGCTCAGGCATCCTGACAGCTAGCTGCAGGGTGTGCAGCTAGGGGGACGGGGAGTGACTGCTGAAGGGTGCGGGCTACTTAAGGGGTGATAAAAATATTCTGGAATTAGTGATAAGGTTGCACGACCATGGGAATATACTAAAAGCCACAGCGCTGCACTTTAATTGTACTTTTAAAGGGTGAATTTTATGGCATGTGGATTACATTTCAATAAAAAAAAAAAAAAAATGCGTATGTCAAACAAACGCCAGTACAGGCACTACTGCTCACCCTGCCCATCACACACCCAGTGTCAGTCCTACACCGCTCCATCTGTGGAAGCCTCGCCGGGTCGCGCGGTAACCCCCAACTCCCAGCCTGGGCCGGCCGAGGTCCCCTCACGCTCGGGTCTCACACACCCCCAGGCCCGCCTGCGCGAAGCACCGGGGGTCGCTCCCGCGGCGCGGCGCGGCCCCTCGGGTGGCCCAGTCCCGGCCGGGGAAGGGGCCCTCCTCCCCGCGCGGACCGAGCTGCCCGGCCCTGCGGGTGCCGGCCAGAGAGGGCAGCGTCCCAAGCCCACCTGTCTCAGCCTGCCAGGAGCTCCGCGTCCGCCCCACCACGCACTGCAGGCGGGCCGCTGGCCGCAGGCAGAGGCGTCAGGGAAGTGCGGCAGCGCCGCAGCCCGGGAGGCGCAAGCCGGCTCAGGCCTCCACGTTTCCACGTCTCTGCGGCTCGGGCTCCAGCTCAGCTCCAGCGTCCGCCGAATCAGCGCGAAGGCCCGGGAGGCGGGGAAAGGAGAGGGAAGCGGCCGAGAACGCGGACGGGACCGAACGGCCAGGCGCGCGCAGCGACAGGCCCGAGGCGCGCGGGCTTCTGGGAAATGGAGTCCTCACGGCGTCGCTGGTTTCCACTCCCACCCAGCGTCTCCCCGGCAACCGCGGAGCCACGTGTCAAGTCCGGAAAGCCTCGGAACTCCAGCTTGGCGTGCTTCCTGGGGAGCCTGACCGGTCCTACCTGTACCGCTGCAGTAATTTAATGTGCCTGTTAGTTCCAGCCCATACCAATGTCAAGCAATTCCTTCTGAAACTGAAGATTCGAGAAGTGGGCCGGCGCGGACGTGTCAGCTTGTAATCCTAGCATTCTGGTAGGCTTAGGCAGGAGCAATGCAAACCCGCCTGGGCAATTTAGCATAGACCTGACTCAAAGAATGGTGATGACGCTGATTGTGGTAGTAAAGGGGCTTGGAATGCCAATCAGTGCGAAAGCCCTGGGCCCAAGCCTCTCTACCGCCAAAACAGGGTCTCCCTAAATTGCCTAGGCCGGCCTCGAATTTGCCTCCTGCTTCAGCCTCTGCCGAGTTCGGAACTGCAGGCTTGGCCACCACCTCCAGGCAGAATTTTTTTTTTTTCT